AACATTTTTAAGGGCTTTTTTTGGAAATATGGATTCTTATTCCTGCTTCCTTAAGATCTGACAATTAAGTGCAGGAGATGTTGTTTTCACATTATTATTATTATTATTTTTTTAACAAAATAATTGTGTGGAATGTTTCTTTGCATTTAATATGTACAAACCAGATTTTAGCCTGAGATTTGTTATTCCCGAACTAGAATAATTAGTAAAGTTTTACAGTGTAATTATAAATTTCATTACATTTTTTGTTTTTTAAATATATTGAAACTATCCAAATTTTAAGGAGTAAAATTTAAAACTCTAACAAGATCTTAATTCTCTCACTGTTTGAGCTCTGTTCTACAATGTAAATTAATTGCTTCAATCTTCTGACTGCAGAGACATGTTTATCTATAACACGATCAAGTCATCATAGCATCAGCACTGATCTTTACTGTCCATGAAGTCACAGGGGACAGATAGTTGCCAGAGCTGATCGCCTATAGCTAGTGTTCCATGAGCATATATGATTGGCAGTGATTAATAACAATTACAGTGTGAGCTGGGGCCAGGAAGACATCAAGTCCTCAAAGTCTTTATCTTTAAAGTAGAGAATGATGCAGGACTTAGGGTTACTAGACAAATCCCTATTATAGAATCAATTCTTCAGTTTTAAGAAATACACAATAGTACTACAATATAATACAAACTGAGATTCAGAATGAAAATAGGTTCGTCTAAATTAAAGAATACATTAATAAAACCCATGAAATATTATATGACACCTGCATGCACTATGGAAAAAGAGAAATAAATTTAAAAAAATTGATGACTTATATTATCATACATGTATATAAAATGTTCATTTGAGGAGTATGGGGCTTAAGACCTATATATTATTATAATTTACATTTCCAATTGTCACTTAGTTTTTAAATTAGTGTTACATGCAAGATATAAAGGAGAATGATTTTTCTCAGACATAATTTGCAAATCAGAGTTATTACTGTAAACGTGTAACATTTGGCGGTGTATTCTTTTTAGCTTTTTGGCGGAAAGAAACATCTGCTAATTTAAGTACAACACTAAATGACTTAAACATAAAACATTAAAATGCGCTAAATCATACCTACGCTAACTTATTAAAATATCAACTTCCGCCAAATATAGTACACTCTAAATATAAAACATTTACAGTGTTTCATTTAAATAGTATGAGAAAGATAGAAAGTGTCAATTTTGCAATATTCTTAATACAGTATGGAAATGCTTTCATAATTCATGGGCAATTTAAAGTTCAAAATTTTAATTTAAGTTTTGCAATTTTTTTATATCGATTTTTCCAGTCTATTTAATTTTTAGATGAGACATCAAAACTTGTTATTATGTACACATTGTTTCGATTATTCTAACTTTGCCTGAATCACATCTTTGATAATACGACATGCTGTACTGAATGTGAGATTTTTCCTACAGAAGATGACACCCAAGAAACTTGTTGAGGCTGTTTTACTGTGACTGATGAAAAAATGCTATGAACCTTGGGAGACCAAGGAATTGGAATCGTCTCTATTATGAGGGAAAGATGTAGCCAAGAAATAAACATGTTTGACCTTCATCACAACTTTGGTTTAATTTCGTGGTAGAAAGGAAAAATACTGTGGGTATTAACCTGTTAACCAAGACATTGTAATATGTGATCACACTGCCATTCAGTGAAAAAGCCCTTTGAGTTGATACATGAACACTGCACATTGCACATGCTTGTTCCGAAGTGAAAAATTTGTTTGTTCCTGTACCTAGTTTATATTATGCTTTAAGAAAGCCTTAATTCAAAAAGTACTGTATAAAATGACAACATGATTTTTCATATATATTTTGTAGAGTGTGTACAGATAAAAAATGTTTCTATGAATATGTGCTGCATTTCATATAAAAGAGAGAAATGTTTCCCAAATTCTTCATGTACGATAAAAACTAATATAATATCACAAAACACATGATAATGTTAGAGAGGAACGTTCCTTTAAAGTTATTTTTAAGTGGGCTTTGCAATGTATCAACAGATATTCATTACAAGACAGAGGAACGTTCCTCAAATGCACGGGTTGCAAGCTTCATGAGGTATAAGTAATCAACAGAAATACAACCATTTGTGAGAGGAACGTTCCTCAAATGCCTGATTTAATATGAATAAGGTATCAACATATACAACTCTGAGAGAGGAACGTTTCACATACATGTAAGTATCCTGTGTGAACAATGTTAAATTTTAGTGAGGAACGTTCCTGAAATGCCTAATGTTTGACAATTCATGAGACAACCATTTGTGAGAGGAACGTTCCTCAAATGCCTGATAATTAACAATCCTTGAGATGCCTACAGTAATAATTAAATTCGAGCGAGGAACGTTCCTCAAATGCCTGATGTTTGACCATTCATGAGATGTCTTCAGAAAAAGTGAATTTGAGAGAGGAACGTTCCTCAAATGTCTCATGTGTTAAGATTCTTAAAGTATTTAAAAATACACGCTGTATGTGCACATGTAAGAGAGGAACGTTACTCAAATGTCTGGTGATAATAAATTCATCTTAGTTTAGAGAGAGGAACATTCCTCAAATGTCTGGTCAAAACAAATGCATCTGAAGTTCAGAGAGAGGAACGTTCCTCAAATGTCTGGTCATACTAAATGAATCTGAAGTTCAGAGAGAGAGAGAGAGAGAGAGAGGAACGTTCCTCAAATGTTTGGTGATAACAAATGCACCAGAAGTGTAGAGAGAGGAACGTTCCTCAAATCTCTGGTCATAACAAATGCATCTGAAGTGTATAAAGAGGAACGTTCCTCAAATACTTAAGAAAAATCTTCAAAAAAGGAACTTGTGGAGACACATATAATGATTTTAAGACCAAAATGACTTCAGATTGTAAAACTTGGGTGAAAAAAAGGGAATTTTGATTTTCCCTTTTTGTTTTGGATTGTGTTCTATGTAATCTAAAGAGCCCCCCCCCCCCCCTTACACCAGAACCCCTGACCCTGGGGCCATAAAATTCACAATTTTGGTAGAGGCACTCTTGCTCATCATAACTATGCACTTAGTTAGTTTATTTAATACCCAGGAGCAGAGAAGAAGATTTTCAAAGAATTCATGAAATTTCACTATATAATCTATAGAGCCCCACCCTAACACCAGAACCTCTGACCCTGGGGCCATAAAATTCACAATTTTGGTTGAGACACTCTTGCTCATCATAATTATGCACTTAGTTAGTTTATTTAATACCCAGGAGCAGAGAAGAAGATTTTCAAAGAATTTATGTATTTTCACTATATAATCTATAGAGCCCCGCCCTAACACCAGAACCCCTGACCCTGGGGCCATAAAATTCACAATTTTGGTAGAGGCACTCTTGCTCATCATAATTATGCACTTAGTTAGTTTATTTAATACCCAGGAGCAGAGAAGAAGATTTTCAAAGAATTTATGTATTTTCACTATATAATCTATAGAGCCCCACCCTAACACCAGAACCCCTGACCCTGAGGCCATAAAATTCACAATTTTGGTTGAGACACTCTTGCTCATCATAATTATGCACTTAGTTAGTTTATTTAATACCCAGGAGCAGAGAAGAAGATTTTCAAAGAATTTATGTATTTTCACTATATAATCTATAGAGCCCCACCCTAACACCAGAACCCCTGACCCTGGAGCCATAAAATTCACAATTTTGGTAGAGGCACTCTTGCTCATCATAACTATGCACTTAGTTAGTTTATTTAATACCCAGGAGCAGAGAAGAAGATTTTCAAAGAATTCATGAAATTTCACTATATACTTATTTAGCCCCACCCTAACACCAGAACCCCTGACCCTGGGGCCATGAATTTCACAATTTTGGTAGAGGACTCAATGCTGATTACAATCATGCCAACAGTTTGACTGCTTGATGTCCAGGAGTAAAGAAGAAGATTTTTAAAGATTGCACTAATTTTAGTAGTTTTTGCCCCACCCCCCAGGCCCCAGGGGGGCAGGGCCCATGAAATTCACAATTTTTGTTCCCCTTCACCCATAGATGCTATATGCCAAATTTGGTTGAAATTGGTTCAGTGGTTTCAGAGAAGAAGCTGAAAATGTTCAAATGTTAACGCACGACGCACGACGAACGACGAACGACGACGGACGAAAAGTGATAGCAATAGGTCACCTGAGTTTACTCAGGTGACCTAAAAATGAAAAGATTTAGTGGAGAATTCTAAGGATATTGACCTACATACACATAGAGCAATTACTGTAAATTTGTTTTTAAAGCGAGCGCAGCGAAGCGAGCTCTATAGACTAACGTGTAAGAACAGAGGAAATTTGGAATGAAATCCAAATAACATCAGCCAAATTTTCCTGTGCAACATTCCCAAAATTCCCTCACTCTGAATGTTCCATCCGTTTTAATTTTAAAACATACCAGAGACCAAGAATAAATATTCTTTCCCAAGATACGTTTACTTTTCTTAATTTGCACAAAGCTTAAAAGTAACAAAAAATATTTTCATCTACTCTACAACGTATTTTATTTAATACTGAACAAGACTTGTCATCTTTTTTAACCAGATACTTGGCTGTCTCCGTAAATTCTGACGTCATGTGACGTCACAGTCTACAATGTGTCTAGTGCAGTTTGATGTTCAACGATTCAAAGCTGTGTATAGGACTGCACTCTCCCCAATGGTCACACCGTAAAACATATTATGCAATGAATTTTTTACAGCATAAATTTCGTGAGAAGCACCATCAGCAAAACAAAAGTACACAATTTAATTTTTTGGTTGATTAATTCCGAGTAAAATGTCTTGATCAACCGTCTTCTCAGAAATTAATTTTTTTCACGATTTGACTTCTAATAGCCATTTTGGGGTAATAAGTACTGGCAAAAAATAAGGAATCTACAGTATAACCTACTTGTAAAAAAAAATAATTAGTAGCTGACCTAGTTACCTGTCAATATGAATGTCAGGAACAGTTTACCTGTAAATAGAACATCTTCTCTCTGGCCACCGACACGAAAGGTAAGATAAAGATGGCTTTTTTCTTTGTCTCTAGGACTCGCTTCAGGACCAGGAGCTCAGCCACCATTGTTTTACCAGCACTAGTGGGGGCCGAGTATACCAAGTTACCTCCCCCTAGAATTACACAGAAATAACAAAGATAGATAACTCTGCAAAATAACAGTGTTGGATGAGTATACCAGGTTTCCACCCCCTAGATTTATACAGAAATTTTAGATAACTTTGCATAATGACAGTGAGGGCCGAGTAATAATATCTGATATAACATTTTTGAATAAGTTTTCCTATTATATCACAAATGTAATAAGTTTCGCTATAAACCCTGAAAAATGCTGAGTCACACCGGAAACAGTAATGTCCGGCCGGAAACAGTTATGTCACCCCCGACGGAAACAGTTATATCATCCTTTCGATCACGTTCATGTGTTTTTACGTTACGCATTTTAGCTCGGGTTCGAAATGTTATGACGTCGGTTGCTAAGCAAATGTAAACAACGGAGCATTATTCTTAACGTCAAGAAAGCATTTCTGGATTATTTGTGAAATTTTCAACGATTTCAAATGATTTAATTTTTTTTTTAATTCTAAAAATGTCATATAACATATACCACATGGCTTCTCGGGCGACTATACCAGAATATTTGCCCCTCGGTGACAGGAAAGCCCTGGAGTGTTATGTCACCCTCTGCCTTCGGCATCGGGTGACATAACACTCCAGGGCTTTCCTGTCACCTCGGGGCAAATATTCTGGTATGTCACCCTCGAAGCCATGTGATATATGTATAATTACATATGACAAGGAACACACAGAAGGAATGTTCACTCCTCCATGGCACCTGATCCCCTCCTGAGTGTTTGCTTAGATTCTCCTGATTTGTATTGTTTGAATGAAATTTTCATGCAAGTGACAAAGAACTGAAAATTCATATATTCTTAAAAAGCATTTTAAAAAAAAATGTCGCCACTATAAATCAACATTGATTCCGAGAGCAGAAACAGACTTTTTTTCCAGGCATAACTTTCTATAATACACAAAACAAAGTTAGCGTTTATCAACAGAGATGTAAAACTCTGCATATAAATATTTGTTAGTTCATTAGAACCCAATATGACCATGATGACATGTATCTCTGTTGAATAATATTCATAATTCATTTCAATCTCACTCACCTAATACCCCGGGTAAACATAGACATTCTGCTTGCCAGGAAAACATTGAGGTGATCCCCTTATCTGTGTACTGTTTTAATACAGGGTCAGGAAGTCCCCAGTTACTTAATAACAGCTTGTCTTCTGTCAAAACTCCATATGTATAAAAGAAATGTAGACATTGAATATATATATAACTACATACTTCACGTTTGCAATGTCAACATAATCTGTATTTGTTTCACTCATTTAGCATCAAATATTTAGTTTTTCATGTCTACATGATATTCTATGTTTCTTTCATTTATTAAACATCTGAAACACCAATTGTCATTCTATGTTATTGTATTTAGAACTTGATACTGTATACAGGGAAAATTTTGCCCCCATTTTATTTTCACCCCTTTCGCCCTACTCACAGGTGGGTGAATTTAAAACAGGGCAAATTCAAAGAACACTAGTCTTGTATACTTTTTACAAAACAAATGTAACTTGGCGAAATTAAAACGGGATAAAATTGGTTGCAATTGTGAAAGGGCAAAAAAAAACCTGTATATAGTACCAGTAATAAAAACAAGAGGCCCATGGGCCTTATAGGTCACCTGAGCATTATGTAACAACTTTCCAGTCATTGAATTTGATTCATATTTTAAGCCAGATTCTATGGCATTCACAATTTTGAAAGAGCTAGCAGTCCATTGGTCATCATAACTATACACTTAACAGTTGCTTAGTTTGGTTACTTAATACCCATAGGCAGGGTAGGGGGACAAAAAATGCATTTCAACTAATCAGTAATATTCAGCAATAATCAGTAGTGTCCCTACCACACATGAACCCCTGACCCTTAGGTCTAGATCCACACATTGCACAACTTTTGTACAGGCATTCTTGCTTTTCAAAAATATTTGATTAATACCAAGGAGCAGGTTTCAAACAATTCATTATATTATCATATTTTCAGTATATACATACACCTCCCCGTCTATGAAACCCCTGACCCTGGGGCCTTGAAATTCACAATTCTGGAAGATTATCATAACTATATAGGTTGTTCATTTGCTTAATACCCAGGAGCAAAGAAGAAAATTATCAAAGATTTCATATATTTGCACTATATAATCAATAGAGCCCCGCCCTTACACCAGAATCCCTGACCCTGGGGCCATAAAATTTATAATTTTTAAAGAGGCATTCTTGCTCATCATAACTATATAGGTAGTTCATCTGCTTAATACCCAGGAGCAAAGAAGAAATTTTTCAAAGATTTAATGTATTTTCACTATATAATCAAAAGAGCCCAGCCCTAACACCAGAACTCCTGACCCTGGGGCCATAAAATTTATAATTTTGGTAGAGGCACTCTTGCTCATCATAACTATGCACTTAGTAAGTTTTTAATACCCAGGAGCAGAGAAGAAGATTTTCAAAGAATTCATGTAGTTTCACTATATAATCAATAGAGCCCCACCCTAACACCAGAACCCCTGACCCTGGGGCCATAAAATTCACAATTTGGTAAAGGCACTCTTGCACATCATAACTATGCACTTAGTTAGTTTATTTTATACCCAGGAGCAGAGAAGAAGATTTTCAAAGAATTCATGTAGTTTCACTATACATAATCAATAGAGCCCCACCCTAACACCAGAACCCCTGACCCTGGGGCCATAAAATTCACAATTTTGGTAGAGGCACTCTTGCTCATTATAACTATGCACTTAGTAAGTTTATTTAATACCCAGAAGCAGAGAAGAAGATTTTCAAAGAATTCATGCACTTTCACTATATAATTAATAGAGCCCCGCCCTTACACCAGAGTCACCCGAGTGCAACAGGTCACCCGAGTTTACTCAGGTGACCTAAAAATCAAATATTGATTTCCGTTTTCGGCCTAAGAAATTTTCTTGATTAAAACTAGTGTCAACTCTTGGCTCACATTTATTGTCAAAGATTTTGAATAAATCATTACACTCACCAGCATTCGCATTTTCCATCATCTCTTGATTTTCAGCCACCCTTTCCTGTGTTTCTGAACTAACGTCATCAGTATTTTCCTCTGTCCTTGACCTTTGACCTATCACCTCAAGGTCAATCACATTCTTCTCTTCCTCTACACCCCCTCCACCTTCCTTTACTTTGTCATTGACAATTTCATTTAATACATTCCTTGGTTTCTTTCTGTTGGGCTTTCCCCCTCTACTGAGTCTAACAGAGCTATCTGCAGTGGCGGGGGTCAGGTTTTCCTCCCCTTTCTTTGTATTGGAGGATTTGTTCTGGGACGGGAAGGGGGAGAGGAAGCTGTCATTTAGGGGACTCTGGAGGGTGAACAGGGACTTCATCAGCTGGGACTGTCGTCTTGGTAACGGGGTCACACATCCTGGTGTTGATGTCAGGCCAGCTCTGATCTTATTGGCTGAAATGGGAGGACAACACAGAATTAACCAATAAGTATACAGCTCTGATCTTTTTGTCTGAAATGTGAGGCTGGTCAACACAGAATTATCCAATCAGTAATAAATGATAATTTCTCATGAATGAGTGTAATAAAAAAAACTTCAAACAGGGATTTTCCACTTCCCTTGTGTCGGGCAAAATATAGGCCTCATTCTCAACATCAAGACTCTTTTTTCACAAAAATGGATTCACAAAGTTAATTTGTTCAAAGTTCTAGTAAAAAAGAAACATGGCCAGGTTTTGGACATCTGAATGAAATGAACAAAATTTTAAGAAACTTTGAAGAAACTTTATTACTGTAATTAAAATGTATTATATTTAGCATGTACGGCATTTGGCGGATATTGAATTTTTAATAAGTTAGTATAAAGTTGATTTAGCACATTTCTTCATAATTATTTTTATTTACTTGTATATGTGCAAGACATTTAGCTTTGTAATTGATTTAGCAGTTGCTGCGTTCCGCCAAAGCCGCTAAAAAGAATACACAGCCAAATGTAATATGTTTACGGTATATTAATTGATCTATTCTCTAATTTACAGTTTTGAATAGTTAAAAGTTAGTAAAAGATCCATTCTGTTCATCGTAAGTGTTTTTCTCTTGAAAACATTATGCAATAAAATTTCCCAATAAGCAATAAAATGCTATTAACCCCCTTCCCCGCAGTCACGCATTTTAACGCATATACTGTTTCCCATTTTTAACGCAAAATCACGCATATACCGTTTCCCTACAATCACGCATTTTCACGTTCTTTAAAAAGTTCATTTGATCGTTAATTCAATGCCAATTTCCTTTCATTATATACTTGTAAAAATCTCATAAAATCGGAAAAGTTATTTTTGCATCAAAATATAACGTCAGAATATTATTTACGCTAAACTTTATAGAAACGTGTACCACACTAAAAGGTGCCTGCGGGGAAATGGTAAAGTTCTATTTTTATGACGTGGGCATTTAGTGTATGTTGCATAACAGTTCAGTAAGTTGTAAAGTGTTAAATTCCCAATCCCAAGGGGCCCATTTAAATGCCGTAAGAGTTGTTAATCCGTGTACCACTGGTTCCAAAGAAATTGGACAAATTAGACAATATCTCAGATTAGACAACATTTTAAACAAATGAATTAAGTGGACTAAAAGTTAACATGGTATGAAGCAAGACTTCAGGATACACAACATCTGGATTAGTCAAGTTTTATTTTAGTAATTAATTTCATTTCGATATTCAATATTGACAATTTCTGTTATCTATATACAAATCCATAATAACCCTTATGCTGACCTTTCTGTGACCTTTGAGGCCTCTCCAGTGTCTCCATGGCAACCAACATCTGTTCATCCAGCTCTGTACAGAAGGAGGAAGAAAACGAGGAATCAATGTCTGATCCTGTGTTCTACAACCAAGACAATCACATGTAAGACATCAATATCTGATTCTACACTCTAAAACCAACAAAATCACTTTTTTATATTAAAGACAAGGCATCAATGTCTGATCCTATGCTCTAATTTAGCCAAGCGATAAAATGACTAGTGTTGTCAAATCGGTTGAAAATCAGAATCGATTAATCGGTAGCATCAGTTGACCCTAACCAACTGATCATCGGCCAATAATCGAATCGGTAACTCTTTGCATAAAATAGGCATTAGATTTTATAAATATTAGAATTTTATTGTTAAATAATGTAAGTAAGGGTGCATTGTACAGATCGAAATTCTAAAAACAGTATATATATGCAGTTTGATTAAAAACTTTAGTAATACAGATTGTTGCATGATTAGGAATTACTTGGCCTGGGAAAAGTAAGCATTGACAGATCAGGTTTTAATTTACATGATCATCTAAAATGTATATGGAATTATTTTTTTAAACTGTTATAAGACATTTAATATTGCAAATTCCTTGTGATTCCGTATGAAATGACAGGTGAATTCCCCCAAATACTGAAAACTAATATATTTCATTTACACAAGTAGTTTAGTTTCTTCAGTTTAGAAATACAAATAATTTATCATTATCTTTTGATTTATTTTAAACAGATTTTAAGTACATGTATTTTAAAACAGTAAAGGACAACTCTTGAAAGATATATATTTTGATAACAAGAGCCTGTTCTTGAAATAAAAGTGAGAAAACTGTAAAAAAGATATGTACTGAAACATACTGATTAATCGATTGTTAAAATCTCCAATCGATTATCTAAAATCGACAGCCTTTCCGACCGATCATCGATTATAAATCGATCATCGTGACAACACTAAAAATGACAGTTATAATGTATATAAACTAATAAAGACAAGGCATCAATGTTCTTAAAAACAACATATTCACAATTAAGACATCTATATTTGATACTTCGTTCAAAAACTAAAATCAACACACAATCACATGTACGACATTAATAGAGAGGTTAAGCATTTGATCGTGTACGTCTACTTGTACGTGTAGACCTAGCAGTGATTTTACAGGGTATGCATAAATATCTCAGGGATCGACATTAAGGGTTGTCCGATTGCCCGGGACAAGTAAATTCTCAGTTCGGGCAAGTGAAACTATCAATGTACTTGTCCGATCGGGCAAGTGGATATTTCTGATAGAAACATTTTTTTAATCTCACATAAGTTTATAAACAACACAATAAATTAAACACTTGATATCCACCAAAAACGGGACATTGTTATTGCATTCGGAATCCCTCGGTCTTACCTTTATTCAGAAATCGGGTTCGTTATTCTGTTTTCTTTCGTAGTTTAAAAAATACGGTTATCTGTCTGACAACCTACGTTACAGTCTTATTATAAAATAGAGATTACAGAATACTTTCTCTACCCAATTAAGGAATGATATGAAGAACACCAGTTATTCAGGGTGCACGATGTATCTTGATTCAAAACATAACAACTCTCTTCCTTCTGTCTTCACCTCATTTTTTTAGAGGAAAAATTAAAATTTCAAACAAAAATCGTAAGAAAATAATATTCCTGCAGTACTCTGTGTGTTTTCAGGATAATTAAATGACGTGAAAGTGTTTTACATACATGTACAAGTAACATTTACAAATGTAGCATCACCATCATATCAACATTTTTTCCGGCAGCTAACTTCAAAATACAGATTAATTTGTCAACTTTTATATTTACAACAAATTAAAGTACAATAACTGGTTTTTTTCTTCAAAAATTTTGGGCAACCAAATTTTGCATTCGGACAAGTCAAAATTGTAGTTCACTTGCCCGAAGGACAAGTGGAAATAAGAGTTAATGTCTACCCCTGTATCTGTGTTAACCCCTCTTTTATCTGAACCTACATTCGAAAAATTTAAATCAACACAATCACTTCAGTAGTATATTTCGTATGGTGTTCTCCACTCTCTACCATCGGCTCATACATTCACCTCTGTCGTTGGCTCGCGTATACACAGTGTTAAACACGAGAAATAGTGCGTTTGTTTTAATTCATTACAATTCAATTTCTATGCTTATGTCTGAATTTTGAGATAGATATTTACTAAATCAATCCAGAACTATTGATTTGAATTGAAACACTTCTTCAAATATCAAGTTTTATACGTAATAATATGTCAAAAATCTTGAAGTGAGCCCATTGCAGAGGTGTCTGAAAGAGGAACGAACGACAACTCTGCATGGGAGATTGGGTGTTCTCATGAACACTTACTTTATTGATGTGGGTTGCCATGGCTATAGGTTACAATCTGTAATGATCCACAATACTAGTCAGCTGTATCTTGTCATAACCTCTGACCTTTGGTTGCTGTAATCTTGTCATAACCTCTGACCTTTGGTTGCTGTAATCTTGTCATAACCTCTGACCTTTGGTATCTTCTCCAAAGGAATTCTAAACAACACTCATTATTTTATTATACACATTCTTTTGATAATCCTCCACGGTGTAGTACCTAAACGGCTGCTATCGGAACAAAACCGTGTTCAATGTTGCTATTCGAAAATTGTACAGCTGCTAGCAGCAATAAATATGTTGAAAACTCTTAGAACAAGTTGTAAAACAGTGAAAATAAGACCCAAAATCAAGATATTCTCTGAAAAGTCCGGGTGCACGGAACAAGTAAGATATTTCTAAAGATGATGTCTTGTGTAATTTGCAGAATAGCCCTCTTATAATTTAGAATGAGTAAAATTTCCGGAGCCTGTAACAAATCTCAAGTCAATAAATACCCAGTTTTCATGCTTTTTTAAATCATCTATTATTCAGATTGTGGATATTTTGGTATTTAAAGATGCGTCAATCTATAATGATAATAGAAATAATTTTAAAAAATTGAAAAGTGAGTTTTAAAAGAGATTTTTGGATAAAACACGATTTTTTAAAGTTACGGTTGCTATCAGGGTCTTAGCAAATATTGCACCGGTTAATAACTGAAAACATCGCACCGGCTCCTATTTGAAATTTTTCCTTATTAACAGAGATATGAAACAAACTTATGGCAGCAAATGTCTAAAATCTACATTTTTAATATCCCAAATTGCCTGTGAAAGATGTCTATATACAGTATGCAGTTGACTTTTACCATCGTAATTCAGGGGTTAACTTCGATTTTGAAAAGGGGGTGGTAAAAAAAATTCAAATCTATTCTTAAAAAGGCTGACAGGGAAAAAAGCAAAATTGTCAAACTTCTTTCAGTAACATTTTTTCTCACTCGCAACCGCCTACCCCTGTTTGACTATGCTGCAATAAAAAAAGGGGGGGGGGGCTTCAATGAAAATTTTCAATATAGTAAAAGTTATGCTTGGAATGAAATCAACAGGCCTTTCAATGAACATTTAGAAAGTAAACGTTATGCTTGGAACAAAATGCGCAGGGGGAGGGGGGGGGGGCGCGTCTGTAACTTGAATGTATCGTATTTTTGCTAAGTAGAGCTGATCTTCGAAAAGGATTGCTACACAAATAAAAAGAAAGCTTCACGAAATGACCTGTTAATCAATCTGAAATAGCATATACTGTAGATCACTTAATTTTCGTGACACCTTATTTTCGCGATATAGTCATTGACTCTTTATTAGCGAAACAAAATTTTCACGAATTGTGGTCAGTACTCTATATAATCTTAAGAAATTCTATTATACGCGAGAATCAAATTTTCGCGAGCATACCGTCTCGCGTAATTACGCGAAAATAAAGTTCTCGCGAATAAAAGTGATTTACAGTAACATATATTTACAATCAATTACAATCAATTCTTTAAAACCTTTCTTAAGTTAGAGTTTTTGGGGATTTTTGTAGCCTACATGTATACTTAAAGATGTATAATATCTAGAAAGTTATAGTACAGTGTATAAGCTTTGTCAAATATTTCTAATTCCATATTTCTTTTTCGAAGTACGGTGATGCATTGTTTCGTTGAACGACTAACATGCAATATTCAAAACACCACCCTCCTCTCCCCATTAGGCTTTTAAGAGTTCTTTAAATCATATATATAGCGAATTAGGTCTATGATATAGGTAAGAAAGACAAGCCAAGCCCCCCCCCCCGCCACGAAAGATAATAATGTTTTCCACTTCTTTTTACTGTCGAATTTCTTGTAAATTGACTTATATAATTTTCATTAAAATTTGTACCTGAATAAGTATCGACGTTGGACAGCAAAACTTTATAACTTTATGTGAGCGTTATTCATTTTTCAATTCAGATTTTTTAAAAATCAGATATAGAGATTGCTAATTTGTAGGTTTATGTTTGGATTTGTAGAGGTGGGTTGCGTAAATATTTGAGACAAATAATCTCTCGTGGTTTGTGTATCGATAATTATGATTTTTTAAAATTCCTAATCGTAAATTTAATCAATCTGGCATAATAACATAGCTGGAATATAATAAATTGAGTGGTCACATGATTTAATGGCTTACACAAAACAGGTGTGTGTGTGTGTGTGCATATGCCATAGACGTCGGAAGCAAATTGAAAGATGAGGGGGGGGGGCTACACCTGGTCCAATAAAAAAAAGATTAGCCCAAGTTTTCAGTGCCTATATTATGTCTGTATCTTTGCAAAAACAAGTGTGAAGGCTTAGCCTCCACCTGTTCCAAAGCCAATGTGTACAGGGGTACATGTACATGTCATACATATGTACAAACTCGATCTACTATTTACAACATACATATAAATATACGATTAATTTGTCATTATATGATGGAAAGTAACATACACGCCAAGTCAATCATTAAGAAAGAATGTAAGGTGTATATATAGTTTTCTTAAGGAACTATATGAATTGCATAAATATGTAAATTGAGGATGTGATTTTAATTTATGAAATTTGAAAACAAACCTATTCAAATAGTAACCGGTGCCGTTGTCTAATAGTAGCCGTAACACAGGATTCTCCTAATTAAAACGCTCTAGCTTGTAAGAAACCCATCAAAGCGGACAATGATATAAAATAACCAATAATATTTACAAATACACAACGAACTGTCGATTCATTTTTATCAAATATCTAAAACTTTTGACGCAATTTTAATATATTTCTTACGTGCATGTAAATGTGTCCAACACTTTCGACAGTTTTCGTCATATATATCAGCAATCCTTCAATTTATTGAAATTCTAAATATACATGCTAGTTTGAAAATATATGTAACGTTCCGTAAGAGTGAAATACCAAGCGGCTAAACTTTAATAATTGAATTATTGACCATTTTGTTGAGCCAGCGAAGAAAAATACTTACAATTTCGTCCATTTTTTTCCACTAGCAACCGCTCAGTTTTCAGATAGCAGTGATGAACGCGCAATTTTTTCTGATAGCAACCGTTTAGGTACTACACCGTGTCCTCTGTCAAAAACAATTCATATAGCTTTTATTCTAGTAACATTATTGTATGTAATACATATTAATGGGGCATTTCTTTTAATACATTAATTTAACTCTCTCTCTATCTCGCTTTGACCAGCTGTTAATGTATCCTGATCATTCATAGGCCACCTGTGGACCATTCTAGGAATTTTTGAGGCTATGATTTAGTGAACGAGTCATAATAAGTACACAGACAATCATCACTCGTCATTATCAAACGAAGATTTTGGTTTAAATTGTACCTTGCATATTTTTCTTGAAATCTGAGAAGAAACTACGGTTTTTATGCCTTCCTCCTCTTCACCGTGAGTTCACGACATTTTGAGACTACCGCTCCCTCTCGGGAATCAGGGTTGATTTGACGCTTGCAGGTTCCGGGTTCGTTTCGCTGCTTTACTTATTCCCACCCCAGTAGTTTTTGCTTTATATACTTTTAATGAATAAAATAGCCGTTCCCTGTAACTTTTAAGACTTTTCAGTTTTGAGGCAGGCTGATTTTTTAAAAATATAACTTAAAATGACTTTATTATGAACTAACCCCAAATTAAAATATGATGTAAGATCAGGGACTATATTATTCTCTTTAGAATAGTGGACAGGCTTTCGCCTATATGCGAAAGCCCTGTCACTTCTCTAAAGAGAATAGGACTATATGTACTATTTTGTATATAAGTCCCTGGTAAGATCATATGAATGCCGAGTACTTCCTATAGAAAATTTGTCGAAAATTATTTTTTTCCCGAAAAAGTGTAATCTTTTAGTGCTTTTAATTTTCTAATGAAATACTTTGACTTCAATTTATGTTATTAGAAGGAAATATAAAAATATGACATCTAATTTTAACATACATTAAAAAAATGGTTAAATAGATTCTTTCTTTTGTTGTTAATACGGGAATCATCGTTGCGTGCAGCTGTTGCAAAAAAAAAAAAATATATTAAAATTTCGGCGCTATGTACAATGCAAAAAATGAAGAAAAAATCCAACACATTTCGAAAATGATGCTATTTTTAAAATCCAATCAAAATAAAACAAAAATAGGTCTTTTTTGACTTTTTTTCTTAAGATAGAGCGCAATTTTTTTATGTCAGTAATTGGTCTCGTATAATATGTAAAGACACATCTTTGGTAAAAATGTAAATTTTGTTCAAGTATGCGTTCAATATTTTCTGGAAGAAAATTGCTTCTAAATGAATATTTTGCTTAGAAATATGTAAATATACGGTCGTATATTTAAGACACGCAATTATTTTTTTTTTTCTAAATGGCAGAAAAAAATCATCTTGTGAAAACGACATAATTATCTTGTGAAAACGAGATATTATCTTGTGAAAACGACTTATTATCTTGTGAAAACGAGATAATAACTGGTGAAAACGAGATAATTATCTTGTGAAAACGAGATAATATCTTGTGAAAAGAGATAATATCTTGTGAAACCGAGATATTATCTTGTGAAAACCAGTTATTATCTTGTGAAAACGACTTATTATCTTGTGAAAACGAGAAATTGGAAATATCTTGTAAAAACGAGAAATTATCTTGTGATAACGAGATATTATCTTGCGAAAACGACTTATTATATAATATCCATTTCACAAGATAATATCTCGTTTTCACAAGAAATTATCTCGTTTTCACAAGATAATTATCTCGTTTTCACAAGATATTATTTCGTTTTCACAAGATAATATCTCGTTTTCACAAGATAATATCTCATTTTCACAAGATAATATCTCGTTTTCACAAGATATTATCTCGTTTTCACAAGATAAGTATCTCGTTTTCACAAGATATATTATCTCGTTTTCACAAGATAATATAATCTGTTTTTCACAAGATAATATCTCGTTTTCACAAGATAATATGTCGTTTTCACAAGACAATAAGTCGTTTTCACAAGATAATTATGTCGTTTTCACAAGATAATTTTTTCTAGGTCTATTGTTTGATTTGTTTTAGTACATATTCATTTCAAAGTTTTGACCCTTCCTTAAAAAATTGTCAAATTTTTACAA